ATCATCAGCCTTTTTTTTTTTTTTTGGACAGAAAAATCGATCTTCACAAAAAAAAAAAAAAAAAAAAAAAAGTTAGAGAGAGAGAGAGAGAGACACACACATGAGAGTTATTAGGTGTCGGCACAAAAGAGCCGAATGGGAAGAACAGCGGTGGGTTTGGAGTCTGGAGGGTAATCCAAATTGGGCAGGCACCTTCCAATCTCCATCACTACTTTTCGTTTTTCGTTACGTTTTCGGTTTCTTTTTTAGAATACGAAGGGTGATGGTGCCACGTGAGCTACCTGTTCCTTACCTCATTCTTTGTCCACCAACCGGCCTACATCCAGATGGCTCCGGTCCCGCCCCTAATGGTGGGCCCCTAACGGTGGTCCCGCCCCTAATGGTTGGCCTATCAAAAGATAAATTTTTTATTGTTGAATCTAATCTAACATTGAAAAAATATACAAAATTAACAGTTTTTGACGGCTGAAAAATAAAGAAGCAAATCAACAATCAGTGTAGGAGGGTTCGTATTTGGATCAAACTCTTCGTCCTTTTTCTCTTCTATTTTTACGGCCAAAATAGAAAGGAAAGGATTTTCTGTTATTATTGTAATTGTTATTCTGGATTTGGGTGGGACCACCAAGATTCGTAAGCGTGCGGAGTCGCATGTTTCCCATTACTTCCATGTAACGAACACTTTGCTTTGGCTCGTACAGATTTGAGACGACGACCAAAGAAGAAGAAAGAACAAGGAACCTCTGTTGCAACTTGTAAATGCTCAAGACCAAAGTCAACCATGAATTTTCCTGAGAAAAAGGCATTATCACGTACATTAGAATAGAACGCATGGAGTGCCGTGCCCTGTGTGATCAGACTGCAAAGAAAAGTTGTTAAAACTTTTGGGCCCGCCTGAAGCGATCCGTGGTTAGCCCAAGAGAAGGAGCCTGCTTCTGAAATCTCCTTTCTCGAGTCTTGGTTCCGCAAGGCCCAAACAAGAAATGACCCCAATAACTGTTGAATTACTATTAGGCTGATTTTACCTGCCCTAGTATCATATTTCCTACAAAGTTTTAAAATTTGGCCCGTTTAGTTCGTTGATTCGAGTTTTTAATTCGAATTGAGATGTAATTTTATGTGAGTACTTTTTATTGTAGCAAAAAAGTTAAATGTGACTGTTTCTGAAAGCTTTTTACTATAACAAAACTCAAATTCTAAACTCGAATCAGTGAAATGAACGGGGCCGATCTCCCTATATCATAGATTATCTTACATTGCGTGCGTAGGCAGATCGAATCAACTATTTTCTCATAAATAGGATACGCGAAGAGTTATGACATGCTCAACATGAACGAGCTGTAAAAAAATTTCATAGGAACTCCTATACCGGAGTTGGATGTTAAGGGTTAAGTAGGCAACTAGATACAGTCCAACACTCCATGCCTACGAAACTACGGGCTTGTTTGGTTCATGGGTATCAAAATTCAAATTTTTATAAGAGAAAATGCTACAAAGAACTCAAAACCAGAATTCAAACCCCTCTACCAAACAAGGCCTACAAGTCTACAAGTTGAGATCGATTCAAAATACCAGCAAAAGCTTAGACATAACATGCTAGGAAAACTGGAAAAGGCCGTTTGTGATTACTTGTTAATATGAACAAGCTTCTGAAAAAAAGTAGATTTGCAAGTTCTACGGAGCAACACAAAGCAACAACTATTCATGACAAACAAACAAACAAAAAAAGTGATAGGTAGGATACATAATTTCCAACTATAAGTCTATTAAAAGCACAGCTCACCAATTCATGTTTTCAAATTCGACATGTGCGCATTAATAGAGAATAACACAACAAAGACTGACATCTCAATAAGAAACTCATGAATGTGACTATGATGCCTAAACCCTATCATCAAACTTATGTTGGCAGAAATTCCACAGAAAACAGAATCAGTCATACTCTAATTCGTCTGGAGTAACTGGCCGTTTGAGAGGGATGATAGACTTCTTTTCCACATCACGAGATAATGCTTTCCTCATATCTGAGAACAGACCCAAAGTTACAAGAATGTAAAAAGCAATAAGAAATCAACAGATACTTTGATAAGGGAGCTCACCTAACCCATCTTCCTCTCCTGAATAATAACGTAGTACCCTTCTATAGATCACGTACCCAAGCTGAGGAAAGAAGAGGGTAAAAGAGTAAGCATCAAAGAATCCGATTTGGTAAACAAAAAAACACACACATACACAAAAGGGGGAAGTGGGTTGGGTAGGCGGGGAACCGTTTGGGTAGCGATATCTTATTGTCCCATCTTGATATTCCATGTATTTGCAAGTGAAAGAGTCCTAAAACCTTAAACAATGTGTTCGCATACAGGAAGAGAGAAAAAACAAAAAACAAAAAAAAAAGAAAGAGAAAACTATAAAATTTTCATATGCATAAATTCGGAGCTTTTGGTAAAGAATCCATGAGTCAAAATTCCAATAACGGTAATATGAATCTAAAACCTGTCCTTTATTTTACTCTGAGGCCTGAGGTCCTTTACGAAAAATTTTGAGATAGATAACTACTTAATACCTAACACAGTCAAAATTACATGCATCAAAAGGGATCTGGTTCAATCAAAAGCAGTATACGAGATTATTAATACCTGCAATAAAGATGTTTACCTTTTCTTTTCTCTTTTCCTTTTTATTGAATTTTTATTTTGCACGAAGATCGGGCAATATATAGCCTTTTGTCCCATTCCAAATGTTACAAGAACAAGGATAAAGCTTAAGCCATCGATGTGCAAAAATAACCTTTAATTTTCTTTTTTCAGGCATAAATTTTAATCGGAAAGGACAAGTACAGGTCAAAAGATAAGCAGAATTGATGGAGAAATATTAGGGTCTCAGCAATAAAATTTATTCAATGCTCAAGCAGAAGTTCTGATACTCAAATATTATTGGAAGAAAGTAGCAAAGCTTATGTGTTCAAAGTGATTAACAGAAACGATACCTTTGCATACATCTTTATGGCTGGTGTATTGGATGCCCTAACAAAAAGATCCACGAAGTAGGCTTTATCACTGCGAAAAGAAACTCGTGAACAACAGAGCTTAAAGATAACAAATATACTGAAGCATTATATGATTTACTAGGCCCTCAATTTATTTCAACAACCATTAGTGCTCAAATAGATAGACACAATCTAAAGCACAAGTTATACGCATATCAACATAAGAAAGTCAAAGCATAATCCAAAATCAGAATCCAAGAACCAAAAGAACTGACTGCTGTTATCGTGAGAAAAAATATGCAAGATAATAAATTGCCCTGGTCTTGACGCTTCTAATGGAACTCATAAGATCATATATTTGAAGTTAAAAAATAAACTTAGGCAAATATGTTCGCATATGCGGATCATAACAATTCAAATGTCATATATTTAACAAAAGTAGCTAGAGTAGTAGAAGAGAAGAAAAATAACGTGCAAGAACATTGGAAAAATACAAGGTTAATCATGCTTCTAGACTTGGATATAAATTAAAATATATATATATATATTAAGCAAGTATACAATAAACATGCCCTCCTTACATCTTATCACTAATGTCTTCAAGCAGGTTCATGAGTTTCTTGGCTAATTGCTGCCTGCGGTATTCTGGAGCAACAGTCACCGCCGTTACATGTCCGTGCCAAGATTCACCTTGCCCTTCAACTTTTCCCATAACTGCAATTGTAAAATAACCAGGTAGAGTTTCATCATTGCATAAGTATGCAGAACTGAAAACAACCCACAAGGACCAAAGTGAAGAATAGAACAAAGCCAACTCTCAAAGCATTACACCAATATCCATCCATATTTCATATTCCCAATAAACTGAATGACGCCTAAAACGGCAAAAAAAATATCATTTGAACACTAATAAATCTCAAACTTTTTTTTTTTTTAAACTTTAAGATAACCCAAAAAGAACACCCAAACCGCAAAAATAAACAAAAAATACCCATTTATCTAATACTACCTCCAAAACACTTCTTTATTCGTGCTAATTTATTCAACAATATAATAATCACAGATAAAACAAATGAACATTGCCGAAAACATGACCCATTTTACAATTTTTTGCTCCTCAAAACTTGACAATACGTGAAGACTAGCATTTTCTTAGTACTTGTTATTTCCAAAACTAAAATCAGAAAGAAGAATAAGTTATCATAATGAAGGTTAAAGAGTATTTAAGGGATTAAAGTTGAAGAAACGGAAAGAATAGTGCTTACTGTAACCCATAATTCGGTTTCCAGGGCCTTCGGCGACGTGAAAATAATCGGGCCATCTTGCCAAATAGGTCATGTAGAAGGACATGTTGAACTGCAATTAACAGATTTTTTCCATAATTTTAAACAAACAAAGATAGGTGAGTTTTCCCAGTGATTTTTAACTTGGAAAAAAAAAAAGGAAACTGAGATAGAAGACAAAGAAATCTTACGGTTTCAGTGAGATGGTCAAGATTGACAGACGCGAAACGAAGAAGATCGTTACAGCAAAATCTGCGAATCGTCGTCATCTCTCTCCTCCCTCCTTCTCTCTCTCTCTCTGTTTCTCGCGTTTGGAATTCCGATCAGGAGGCTAGGACTAGGAGCTCGGAAAAACAAACAAAAGAAACTAATGATAAGACGACATGTCGTTTTTTATTTATTTTAAATTTCTGCTCCAAAAATTATACGAGGTGACCCATTTTGGTCACTTCATTTAAAAAAATGTCTATAAACTTTTATTTAATTTTGGAAAATAAATGATAAGTAGTTAATCAATTAGATCTAATATTTAATTATTTAGATTGAATCAATCAATTATTATTATTAAATGTGATTAACCAATAAGAGATAAGTCATTAACAGATATTAGTTGATCAATTATTAAATAATCACCAAATCAATCAGTCAGATATACTCTTCTTTTGAAAAAATTATCATTTCCTAATTTAACAAAATTTACATGCACTAAAATCATATTAGAAAAAACATTTATTAATTTAACATACCCTTCCAGCATACAAAACGACAAGTCGTCTGCACATACTTTTTCATTCAATGTCGGTTTTCAGTTTTCATTACAATACGACAGCCGTCATACTTTTTGACGACACAAGTTGACTGGAGTTTCGGTGTCGTTTTTAATTTCTTATCGGATGACGTACGTTTAAGACAATTGGACCGGTAACTTGATAAATCGGGCCATCGGGTTGGGTTATTCTAAAACTTAAACCACCCACAAATTACTACTGCGTTTGAAGATCTGCTTCTGAATCGTCGTCGTCCTCTCGTGTAAATCTTCCCCAAATCGGAAATCAAAAACCGTTAACAATCCCTAACCCTAGACTGCAGAGAGAGACACAGAGAAGCCATTGATGGACCTCCTTAAGCAAGAGCTCCTCAAGAAGCGCCAAAGCTTAGCCGAAGACACCGGCGGCAAGCGGTTCTTCAAGCGCTCCGAGATCGAGCAAAAGAAAATCCAGAAGCTTCGCGAGCAAGAGAAGCGCGAGTTGGAGGCCAAATCCCAGCGCCAAACCACCGCCCCCACCGCCTCAACCACCAAATCGAACGCCTCCTCCAGCGCCACCGCCTCCGCCACGACAACTTCTTCCACCGCAACCACATCCAAATCCCAAACCGACGAGCAGAACGTCGATAACCTCGTCTTGTCCAAGCAAGAAGTAATTCGTCGCCTCCGGCTTCTCAAGCATCCAATTACGCTCTTCGGAGAAGACGACGAGTCTCGTCTTGACCGGTTGAAGTATGTGTTGAAGGCCGGGCTGTTCGAGGTCGATAGCGACATGACCGAGGGACAAACCAACGATTTCCTGAGGGATATCGCGGAGCTGAGGAAGCGACAGAAGTCCGGGATTTTGAGTGAGCGGAAGCGGCAGAAGACAGATGTTGATGGCGTAGCTGAGGACGGGGAAGGAGGCGTGGCGGAAGAGGAGTTGAGCGCTGACGGGGGATCCAGCGGGGTTGACGCCGACAAGGATTTGAAGCGAATGAAGGCGAATTTGGATGAGCTCTGCGATGAAGATAAGATTTTGGTGTTTTTCAAGAGGCTGTTGAATGAGTGGAACGAGGAATTGAATGAGATGCAAGAGACCGAGAAACGGACTGCTAAAGGGAAGTCCATGGTGGCCACGTTCAAGCAGTGTGCGCGGTATTTGAATCCGCTCTTCAAGTTCTGCAGGAAGAAGGTAAAAGTTCTGGTCTGATGCTTATAAGTCGTAATATGGTTCTTCCAAATAACATTTTTCTTGTCCTGAACTTTCTAAAGTATCATGCCTCCACTATTTTATTATATTAATGAAGTTTTGGATTTTGCAACTTACTATCTGTTTTTCCGTATATGTTTACACTTTACAGTTATACAAGCTCTGGGAAATGTATTCCAGTGTGTTCATGTTAGTTTGATAGGATAAAGGTCCAGAACTATTTAGGGTCGTTAGAATGACTTGAAAATTATATAATTTTAGTTTTTCGGAGAGTATCTAGCCAATGGTGGGTGAATATTGGATTAGGAAAGAATTTGACTTTCAAAAGTCAGCCCATTTACTGGTGGTTATATATAATCTCCTCTGACATCTCTTAGCTTAGGTTGATGCTTAGAAATTGAACAAAAAATTAATGTTTTTACATGTCACTCGTAGTTGACCAACCTAGAAAGGACTATGCGGACATTGTGGCATAGAATGTGTAATTAATAGCATAAGGTACTATTGAAATCTTTAGCTGCTTGATGCTCACTATAAACACAGTATTTCCCTTTGTGCTGCGTATAAAATCTCCAAATAGGTTAATACTCATGAAGTAGTCTGTGGTTTCATTCCTATATGACCCTGCAAGAAAGTCGAGATCCCTGGGAGTAGCACTTTAAGCCTTTCATTCACCAAAAAAACACTTTAAGCCTTTGACACAGTACAGAGTCTCGTTCAGCTTGGTCTACATTCTTTAAGCTTTGAACTAAAACACATTCAACCTAAATTTTGCAGTGTTTATACAAAGGAGACATTTTATCTCTTGATATATTCTTTCTGTAGGTTCTTCCAGATGATATCCGCCAAGCATTGCTTGTAGTCGTGGAATGCTGCATGAAGCGAGACTACCTAGCTGCAATGGACCAATACATTAAGCTGGCCATCGGAAATGCGCCCTGGCCAATTGGTGTTACTATGGTTGGTATCCATGAACGTTCAGCTCGTGAAAAGATCTACACCAATAGCGTTGCCCATATTATGAACGACGAGACAACTCGTAAATATTTGCAGTCTATCAAGAGGTTGATGACCTTTTGCCAACGACGCTACCCAACACTTCCGTCAAAAGCAGTTGAATTCAACAGCCTTGCAAATGGAAGTGACCTACAGTCTCTGCTAGCAGAAGAGAGGGTTTCTGGGGGTAGTAGTAGTCAAGCCGGAGAGGAAAGGCTTCGAATAATGCCTGCTCCAAGAGACAGTTAGCCCTTTATATGGTCATCTTTTGGTGGATTTTCTCAATGGTGAAAATTCTAACGCTTTATGTGGTACTGTACCCTGATTTGCGTGTTTTGAGACGGAATATTGTGGCAAAAGAATGCCATTGAGAGCCATGGGCTACCATGGTGTTTGTTTAAAAAAATTTATCAAAAGATGGAGTATCCTTTTGTTTCTCAGACTATAATGTTATACAATTGCATATTTGTGTCAAATCAATGTGGCAGACTCTTGTTAAATCTCTAATCTCATAAATAAGCTGCGCATGATTTTGAGAAAACATGGCATCTACGGGGGTGTTAAAATACTGTTGTTTAAATGAAAGCATATTTTCTTGTATTGTAAATTTTTTTTTTTTTTTGAGTAATTATATTGTAAATTTGTAATGTTAGGTACTGCCGGAAAAAAAAAAAAAAGAAAAAGTGTAGTAATATTAGGTTGTGGTGCTCCTCGAGAGTGGTTACACCATTTCTTATTGTTGGTGCCAAATTTTTTTCACATATGCCCTGTATTTTGGGTTTGTTATACCATGCATTACGGTCACGGATCTTATTAAATATGTACAAGATATTCGAAGTGTATCAAATTCATATCTTAAATCAGACAATGCCTTAATATTAAAAAGACCAACATATAGTTGCGGGAGAACATCTATGTAAATTTCCTTGCGACGTTCAAAGTTATCACCTACCACACTGGCCTAACAAGCACTGCATATTTGTTTCTAGTCGAGAAATGTTAGTCACTTTTCACGGAAAATCATTAATTTGAAACCAACACCTTAATGGTGACAACGAAAATATACAAAGGCAGAAAGAATCTGCTATATCAAGTCTAATTTTTCGGTCACGATGATTGGCTCTTCGTCAAGCCAAACGTGTCTTCAGCACCATTTGTCACCTTCTTCCTCCGTTCAGCGATCATGTCTTCGTATGCCTAACAGACAAACGAAACCATTAAAATTAAGCATAAATAAAAAGGAAAAAGAAGAAAAAGAAAGATGTGTGGATGATGATGATGAATACTGGGCACACCTTTGGATAGGAATACAGGAAAATGTACCACCATGCACACATCAGTAATGACACGACGGTTGTGACTAATACTGAGTGCAAAATCAGCCAGCTCAAGGCAATTGCGGATACCCCAGTTAATGTAATTGTCCATGGTTGACACCTAGAAACCAAAGTACCAAAAAAGAAATTATAATCAGACTACTCAAAACAATATGGACGCTAAAGTAGTAACTTGAATTGTGCTTAATTCTCCGGACTTTTCTTTATTTTTTAAGTCGAAACATAAGAATGAAATCTCTAACAATTTTGATGTGGCGGAATCAATAATGGAACTAGAAAATATATAGTTTGTCTATTAAAAGGACAAGCAACGCCCACAGCAGAAGAATTATATATGAAGTTATTATGTACACGAAATTTTAACCAATTAGTACCAGAAGGAAACAAGAAAATAACCTATAAACAACTTCTATTATAACCTGTCAAGCGATAACAAGCAGAAAAACAAAAGGAAGACAATAACAGAGCGAAAGATCGATGAACTAGATTTCGAAATAGTAAATTTACTAGGTTTCTAAATAGTAAATTTACTAGGTTTCTAAATTAGTAAATTTAAGGAGTGTCCGCGCTTGAAAACAACATTTCTAGTAGGGAAAAAAAAAAAAACCACAAAATAATGGAGAGAAAAGTTTAGTTACCAGGATGGTTTAGTGTCCCAAACAGAATCATATTCAAGAGAAAGGTAGTTGAGATAGCCATCCATATCATCAACGACCCCGTTTTCGTCCAAGAACTGCGACTCATTTCGGTCGCTCGAGTTACTTCCAAAGACAACAATTTTGTCCCCAATTCGGTTCGATTTGAGACTACAAGATGAGGAAATGGGATTGAAAACGTTGGTTTGCGGAGAGCAAAGACGGGGTTGCAATCGCAGTGCTGGAACAGAGAGGGAGAGAGGGAAGAGAGCAAGTGTTGCCATTTTTCTTTGTTTGTACTCGCGATAAAATATCTCATTCACTTCCCTCACCTTCGCTTTTAATTTAAGAGGCTTTTTATTTATTTATTTCCTAGCAAAAGGAGGCTTTTATTTATTTATTTTTCTTCCAATTATTATTACGGGTGCCCTTAAATTTTAAGGACACTTTTAGTTTACTTTTTAAATTTTAAAAGTTTTTATTTTATCTTTTAAATTTTAAATTAGTCCTATTTAAATTCTTTTTAGAATTTTTTTTAAAATAAAACCAAAACAAATAATTAAGTGTGGTCACGTTTGTTTTTAGTTAATATTCAAACAAAAAGACTATGTAATTGTATTACTCTTTTTTTTTATTTTTTTAACAAATATTTTCAACAAAAAAATTAAGTGAGAACAATTTAAAATTTAAAAATAAAATGCAGAAGATAAATTGAAAAATGATCCCAAAATTTAAGAACACCAATAATAATAATTTTTTTCTTTTTACTTGAGAGAGGGAGAAAAAAGAGTCGAACTCAACTAAACTATAGCTTTAATAGGAACTATTAATATGTGAATCATTTTCAAAAAAAAAAAAAAAAAAAAAAAAGAACAATTAATCCGCAAAAATCTTAGACGAAGAGTCTAACGGTTTAAGTTCAATGTAAAGGAGTGCAGACTCAGTGACAGAAGTTAAGATTTTATTTTAGTTGGGGCACAAATATGGACAATTTTTTCAAGCTAAAAATAATAATACAAATTGTGTACTTTAATATGTGAATTTTTTTTTATAGAAAGTTTAATATGCCATCGTTAACAAATCAGCAAACTTCTTTATAAAAATAGTGAGATTAAGAATGTTTGAGAAGTAACAAAAAAATAAAAAGGATGAAAGGAAAGAAAAACAAAGATATATCATATATGCAGTTGTAATTCCTAACGAGGGTGAGAAGAATTGACTTTTTATAATAGTCACTGGGGCTCTATCCTCACATGTGATATATAAACTGTGTTTTGGTTTCTCAGTGGGGAAGGAAGATTATCTTTATCTAGCTCGCTAGATTGTTCAAGAACCAGGTTAAACGGATTGGTCTAAGACTCGCTACTATTAAATTAGGCCCGACCCGATTCTAAATTTTAAGTTTAAAATCGGTTAGATCGATTATCTCTCTTTTAAGGTTGACCCAGCCTGATTCAAACATTATATTTAAAAAAAAAATTTAAAAATATATTATAAAATTTTAGATTAAACCGATCTTAAACTTTTTAAGTTTAGAACTTAACTGGACCGATTCTCTCTCTTTTAGGCCTGGTCTGAAATTCGGGCCTGAACCGAATGGAGCGAACTAAACTTACACCTCTAGCGTGTGTCATACATATTTTTTTTAAAATAAATAATCATACCTTTTAATTTAAAACTAACCGGATTGAATTGAACAATGAATTGAGAGCAAATTGCCAGTTCTACGCTGATTGTGGATAAAAAGCATTCATAAGTTAATGAGTATAGAGGTCATATAACTCTAAAAAAATAAATAAATAAAAAAGACGGAATATCCGCAGTGGATAATAGAAGGGTGAAACGGTTGACCTGCTATTTTTTTTTTTTAATTATAATTATAGCTAGCAAAGCTAAATATTTGTGTTTCTTTCTTGTGGGTTTATGGATTAGGGTTTACGCTCTCATAATACCAAATTCTCATTTTCTTCTTCTTTTTCTTTCTAATCCTCTTCTTTTTGGCATGACCAGATCGAAAAAATCACCAAATGCTGAGCAAAAGAGCTCCAGGTAAATATTCTCTCTCTTCCCTCATTTCCATTTTCAGAACCCAATTTGATTCTCATGTTTCCAAATCTAACAAAAACGATTCCTCTGATTCCACTCCTCTGTGGAAATTGATTCAAACCCAATGCAAATCCCTTGACCTAGCCCTTGGTTTCTTCGATTCAATGGTTCAAATGCGACCCTTGCCCTCCATTACCTCTTTCAATCATTTGTTCGCTTCTCTCTCCAAGATGAACCACCATTCCACTGTCGTTTCGCTCTACCGAGAATTGATGCATCTGGGTTGCCTCCATTTTCGACCCAATCTAACTACATTGACCATTGTCATCCAATCCATTTGTCGTTTGAAGAATCTGGCTTTGGGTTTCTCTGTTTTTGCCATTATCTTTAAGCGCGGCCTTAAGCCCAATGATTGGGTGTTGAATACTCTGCTCCATGGCCTCTCGTTGGGAGGCTCGGTGGCTGCGGCCGCGGAGTTATTCCTTGAGATTATAGAGAAGGAGCACCCGCTTGACGGGGTTACTTACGCGACTATGATTAATGGGTTCTGTAGTGTTGGAGAAACTGGTAAGGCGATTGAGTTGCTCGAGCATATGCACGAGTGCAACCACCGAGGGATTAAGCCGACTGCGAGTTGTTATAGTCCTATAATTTCTAAATTTTGGAAACAAGGAAGAATTGATGAGGCCTTTGGCTTGTTTGAAGCTATGATCAACCGTGGTGTTCGACCGGATCTCTTTGTTTGTAATTCGCTGTTTCACGGATTGTGCAAATATAGTCGTTGGGAAGCAGCAACAAAATTCTTAGAATTTATGAGTGATTGGAAACTCTGTACTAATATTTTTACATTCAATATTATGTTGGATGCTTTGTTTAAGGAAGGAAGAATTGAAGAGGTACTTGATCTTATGGAAGGATTGAGTAATAGAGGTCTTAAGCCTGATGTCATTGCATACAGCTCTTTAATTTGTGGATTTTGCCTATCAGGCCAATGGAGAAAAGCTATTGATTTGTTGGATGAATTGGAAAATGAATTCATCTCGGCAAATCTTGTAACTTTCACCATAATTGTGCACGCCCTCTTCAGGCAAAGGCAGAGGAAGGAAGCCCTCGGCGTGTTTCATGTAATGGTTGAAAGAGATATAACACCGGACCTTGTCACTTACAACGTGTTGATTGATGGATTGTGTCATTCATGTCAATGGGAAGAAGCTACAAGGTTGATTGATGAGATGATAAGTCGGAGAATTTTTCCCAACGTCATAACTATGAATGGAATTTTGGATGCTTTTTGTGAACAACAAATGATGGAAAAGGCTCGAAAGCTTTTCGATGGGATGAATCAACATGGTCCTAAGCCTGATAGAATAACCTACAATACATTGATCAAGGGGTATTGTTTACAAGGTAAAGTGGGCGAAGCGAAGGAAATCCTTGAACAAATGAGATCAAAGGGTATTGTGCCTAATATTGTTTGCTACAATACCTTGGCCATTGGTTACATGAAGGTTAATAAAACAGACGATGCTCTCAAGCTTCTCAAAGGCGCGATCGAGAAAGGGTTAGCGCCCAATCATGTAACAGAAAACACTTTGAATAGCATTTTTGCTAGAAGGATTGTTAGATCCGGACTGTAAGTCCCCCCATGGGGTAAGATGATGATCTTTAAGAATGTACCGACCTGTATAGGAATGATTCTTTTGATAAGTTGCTGCGCACAAATGTAGAATGATTAGACAATGTTCATAGTGGAAACAGAAATCCTCTCTCAGTAATTCAACTACTAAACTCTGATGTTTATACACCAATGAATTGTGCAATTTTTCAGTCAATTGTGGTCTCTTACTTTACGTGAGTGTAAAATGTACAAGGAATACAGCTACCGTAAATATAATAGTCTGGTGATTGACCATGCTTCTTATGATTGTTTTTATATGATCTATATGACATGGTGTTTTCTTTCCTTTTTGTCTCAGGCAATGGATGTTTTCAACAAAATATCAGAACTTTTCTCTGGAGTTCCTGGCTTGCCTTGATAATGTAAATTCTTGTTCCCGGCTAGTTCTATGAAGTGACCGGTTCACTTTGACGGTGTTAGTGTAGATGATACTTGTTTTCCGGAGTACAGATGTTTCTCAGTCGTAGACGCACAAGGTAACCAGAGCCATCCTGAATGGCGAAATGCTTCTCGCTCTCGTGTATGCCTGAATATCTGTCTGCAAGTTTCTGCTCTGAAGTGTCTCGGTTGCGTTAAGAAGTTTGTTTAATCTGCCAAGGCTAAAAGTTATGTATTTCAAGTTTGGAAATCTGGTTGGCCCTTTGTAATATTGTCTTCGCTGGCTTATTCAAAATTTTGTGTGGCTAATTGCTGATTAAATTTTCTAAAAAGAGGTTCGTTTGATAAAGTTTGGATAACGAATTTCCATTATAAGCATGAAGATGACAATTTCTATCCAATAGGATTATAAACTCAAGGGAGAAAGGAATGCCCCTCTAGTGAAGGGTATACAGATTTTCTTTTATACCTTTATTTAAACACTTTTAACATTCATGCCCATTTTATTCTCCCTTTAAAATCAAATTAAGAGGGGGCACGACCTAAAGAGAGAAGAATTAGAGGATGTAAAACTAAAAGAGGGAGTTTAAGGATGTTATATCTCCAAATTTCTCTAAACGCAATAGTTAAATCATATAAATGTAAGCCCTCTTGATTTTTTTTTTCTTTCCGTCTGCGAAAGCCCTTTCGATAAGGTGAGGACTTGAGCAGGTATAAACGTTGCCGAAGAAAATTGATCAAAAACACTTTTGCTTAGAATCTAGTAATAATAAAAAGGAAAAGAATGAAAACCCACGCAAGAAAGAATGAAACGACAAAAATATAACATAAAAATAACAGGTAGAAAACAGAATAAAACGACAATAAAGTGATGGACACAAAATAGAACGACACAAGCAACAAAATATAACGACACGAACGAAGAAACGACAATAAACCCTAAACGCCCGGGAATAAACGATTATATGAAAAGAAAGGAAATGAAAAGCCCCACAAAAAAAGAATTAAATGGTATATATACATATATATGGCGCCGAATGGAAGACAACAAATTCGGAAACGAAATAATATAACGTAACAACTGAAACGTAAAAACGACAACAGAATATGAAACGACAAAAATATAAAACACCATGTAGTGGGGAAACACAGAATGAAAGAAATACGAAAAAGCAATTAACACAAAATAGAACGAAACACGCCAAAAAAACAACCTAAAAGAGAAATCACGAAATAAAGGACAACAAAGTAACCAAGGACAAGGATGAAAAAACGACAATAAAGGTTACCCAAGTAATAACGACAGGAATGAAACAGTAACACAACGGGACACGTACGAAAACGACAATAACAACAAAGAGTGAGAACGACAATAGTCACGAATGACAAGGGAACGACGAGAAGAGAGTAAAGAAAAACAGATGTGACTCTGTGGTTCACAGGAAAAACGAAAACAAAGAAGAAACAATAATAAGGGGAGAATAAAACGACATCTCGTGTAACGCAAGAGATCTAACAACTATAACAAGGTCGTAATAAACAACCATAAGAGACTATACGACAATAAAATGACACCACTCGAAACCCGGAAATCTAAAAACAACAAGGCAATAATGGAATAAACGACAACAAAATGGATGACAGAACGACACAAGGGAATGAACCACAAGAACGTTTTCATCTGTGTTGGGAGATAGAAATAGAAGACAGATCAAAAGCCAACAGGAAGGTAATGAACAACAAAAGTCAAAGACAGACGCTGGAGGGTGTAAATGACAACAAAATAAGGGTAACAAAACGAAATAAAATCAGAAATCGACAACGAAATATGAAAGGCGGTGAAGGACAAACAATTAGAAAACGGCATGTAACGTTGGAACAATAAGAATAACATAACGACATCAAGTGAGCAAAGAACAAAAACACAAAACGACAACCAATGAAAAAACCACAAATAAAGGATAGAGAAGAAATAAACAATATGAATGTGCAAGATCTGAAAACAGTGGAAGAGATCACAAACGAAAACACAAGGAAAAAACGGAGAATAAAAAAGGGAGAGAAACACATACTAAAGGACTTTTCATAAAGCTTAACTGTACTTATCCATGCCAAGAATGAACAAGTTGTAGAATGTTATTTTCACATGTGATGAGAATAAGTGAAAACAGTTCGTGCATGTCAAATCCAAATAAGAAATACGGAAATAAATTTCTTAGTTACACTTTGGCTACGAACTCTTCTGTATTTGTGAATGCATCAACATTCTTATTTCAAGAAAACACTAAATCCTAATTTGTACATACTTGTAGTTTAATTTGCCAACACACACCTGCTCAACATTTGCCTGCGGGTGTTGTCAATTCATCAGCTCAAACTGGGAATAGAACTATTCATCAGCTCAAAGTAACTGCAAGAGCTTTAGTCGCGATTTTGTTCCATCTCTGTATCTCAACATAACAGAAAATAGCAGTTGCAGAGCATGGATCTTCGTTGTAAACGTGTTACAGCACAATGATGATTTCATTATTTTTCTCCTAAAGCAGTTGGGACTTATCTTAAAAAACAATATAACCCATGTAAACCTCTAAAGAAAACCATACGGACACAAAATATTCTGCCAATAGAACATATGTTAAACAAAGTATACTGCACAGCAAAGAAGCGCATAAGTAACATGTAGATTGCAAATATTCAATCAAAGCTTCTTTTTTTTTTTTTTTTTCTTTTTGCGCTTTCTTCCAATGCACCTTAAAGATTTAAGAATCCCTAGGCTTCTCAAGTAGTAAGCCAAGATGCATCAATCATTAGCTCAATGATTCGAAACGATAATGTACAAGCGCAAACGCTTAATTTCCAGTGACTCAGGCATCTTGAACGATAATGTACAAGCGCAAATGCTACAATGTCTTAATGACTCAGGCATCTTGAACCCAAATCCTCACAGATATATCATTGTCGAGGCCTGCAGAGGCAATTTTGTTCTCAGTAGGGTGACAGGAAACGGAGATGACAGTACCAGTGTGGCCTTCAAGTTTCTGAACCATATTTTTATGCTGGAGATCCCACAAGTAAACACAACGGTCCTCCGATCCGCTAACAATGTATTTCCCATTTGTCACGGAAAATGTGGATGTTATGCAGTATTCCTTGTTAACATGACCGGCGTACACTTTCAAAAACCTCCCGGTTGAGTAGTTCCACAGCTTCTGCACCCGGGGACAAAAAGAAAAGAAGCGCGTAGTTAAGTACTAACAAAATCCAATCAGTTTGAGATTCCACCACAAGCAATATACAACAAGATCGCAACGAACCAAATCATATTTTTCCCAGGTCTCCATTCTATTCGATAGCTAAGCGCACAACACAAGGGAAACAAATGAAGAGAATCATTACCAGACTGGAACTAAATTCCATTTTTTTTAATGGTAATTAAATGTTGAGATTTGTTCTCGATCCTTGTAATCTCCTTTTGTAATTCTTTCCTAATTTAGGGACACCACAGTTGTATGATGAGTGTGAACAAAATAGTTAGCCTTGATTCTAGGACGTGATTCTAGGATAACTGATTGTATTTTCTACCTATATAACCATGTACAGACTAATCACAAAGTATGAATGAAAAATACAATTTCTATATTTTTCAAGTTGGTATCAGAGCCTCTAGATTCTCTTGTTCATTCATCGTAAAAAAAAAAAAAACCAGAAATCAGATTCCTTCTCAAAACCAAAATCAAAAACCCAGAAATCAGATATCTTTCTCAAACCCAAAATCAAACTCAACCACAAACCCCGCCGTTGGAAGCCGTCGCTCGCCACCGTCTGAAGACATCGCGTCCAGACCCACTGCCTTTGCCGATCAGACTCGTCGCCCAGACTCCCTGCCTCCACCGATCTTCTCGCCAGACGTCGTCATCACCCGCCACGGCTCTTTGCTTTCCGAGTTGTTTCCGTGTTTCTCAGTCAAAGCCATATGCTTCGTGATTAATCTCAGGAAAACGACAGAGTTTGTCTTTTATTGCTTATAAAGTTTGCTTTCCAGAGTTTGTTCTCACGTTTGTAGTATTATTATTATTATTATTTTTTTTTTAAAAATGAGTGAAAAAAATCATGAATTGTTTGGGATTAAATCCATTCCGGTTTTGGTTCAGTCCGAGGGAGTCTTTAACGCAGGAATCACCCTTACCGAATCAAACTATGACATATGGTCCCAATTGATGGAAATGCAAATTGCTGAAAGAGACAAGATCTCCCACATTCGTGGCAAGATAAAGCCACCTGCAGAATCGGATGAAGGCTATGAGAAATGGTATGCTGAAAATCAAAAGGTCAGAAGGTGGCTATTGATGTCGATGTCTCCAGAAATTATGAGGCGCTATTTACGCTTACCCACTGCCTACGAAATTTAGGATGCTCTTTCAAAAGCATTCTATGATAGAACCGATGAATTACAAGTGTTCACTTTGAACCAAAAGGCCTTTACTGCCAAACAACAAGGCAAAACACTCTCTGTTTATTATGGGGAGCTCACTGAAATATTCCAAGAGTTGGACTATCGTGATAAGGTAGTCATGAAGGATCCTGATGACGTCACAGCATACCGAAAATCCATTGAACGATTAAGAGTTCACATATTCCTCGCTGGATTAGATGGGGAGTTTGATCAAATCCGACGAGAGATTTTGCGAAGTGACCCAGCTCCAAACCTGGAGGAGTGTTATTCTTTAATTCGACGAGAGAGTGTACGCCTTATCACCCTGAAAGGCGTGTCCGGAACATCTGAAGCTTCTGCCATGGTGGCTCGTAACCAGCCTAACCAGAATCAACAAGACCGAGTACGACCCAACAATGGTAAAACGACCAATGGTATTGACAAGTCCACTTACAAATGCACCCAATGCAATCGGACTGGTCATACCAAAAGTCGTTGTTTCGAGCTGGTGGGATATCCAGAATGGTGGGATCATAGCCGGTCCAAGAAAGATCAAAAAAGAACATCCACTGCAGCAGTTGTTGAAACAAAAGAAGATATTGCTGAAAAAGCTTCGGCGTTGGTAATAGCTGCAGATAATGGTGGTAAGGTTTTAAATATTTCTACACCTGTTTTTAATAGTGCATGGATAATTGATTCTGGTGCAACAAATCATATGACATTTGATTCTAGACATGTCTCACCTCTTAAAACCTCCTTACAAAAGTTTGTTTCTACTGCCAATGGAACCTCGACCCCAGTCTCTGGGGAAGGATCTTTAACTCTCACCGATACCTTAAATTTAGATTCGGTTTTAGTTGTTCCATCTTTAAATTATAATCTTTTGTCAGTTTCTCAAATAACAAAAACCTTGTCTTGTATTGTAATCTTTTGGCCTGAATTTTGTGTGTTTAAGGACATTCAAACCAGGAAGACGATTGGTTATGGTACTAGGCGGGGAAAGCTCTATTACTTGGACTTGGTGTCCAAAAGTTCTGACAAATTACAACAAGCTCTGACGGTGGATAGCTCTGAGGGGGAGAAAAAACAAAAAAAAAAGAGGAAATTTGGTTATGGCATCGGCGTATGGGACATGCTTCCTTTAGATATCTAAAAAAGTTGTTTCCTAGTTTATTTGCAAAATTTGATGTTTCTAGTTTTCGGTGTGATGTTTGTGAACTAGCAAAAAGCCATCGTGCTTCATTTCCCTTACGTTTGAATAAAAGTCCACTTCCTTTTATGATTATACATTCTGATGTTTGGGGTCCGTCTAAGGTCACTACTTTGGGAGGATCACGTTGGTTTGTAACGTTCATTGATGATTGTACTAGGATGACATGGTTGTGCTTGATGAAATCCAAAGGGGAAGTGAACTTATTATTTCAAAAGTTTCATAAAATGGTTGAAACTCAGTACAACGCAAAGGTTCGAGTTCTTCACAGCGACAACGGTGGAGAATATGAGA